GGTATACATCATCGAAAGATAAACAATTTGTTTATGCATGTCTTCTTACTTGGCCAAACAATACAACTGAAATTACATTAGGTGCACCAGTTAATTCATCAAGTACAAGTGTAACACTTCTTGGTTCAGATGTTGGTCCATTAAATTGGCGCTCGGCTGGTGCAAGTGGTGGTATAATTATTGATGTATCTAATATTAAAACCTATTCACTTGCAAGTGATTGGGCATGGATTTTCAAATTACAAAATGTTACTCCAAAATAGACAAATAAGAAACTTTGAAAATATCAATTAGAATGATAGACTTTTTTTTGTTCTTTATTTTTAATTTTCTAATCATTTTTTTCGAATATTAGTTTGAAAAGCTTTACATTACTTCTAAATACTTTAATCTGTTCGAACAATGTACATTGGTTATGGATAATTAAAAATTGTTTAATTTTCATAGTAAAATACAAACTTGATTAGAAGACTTTCAAGGTTTGTGTCACGAAAATCAAGCTCCTACCCTCAAAAAACGGTCTTGGGTGAGGTATATTCGAACTGCATGGAATTTTCAGAATATGTTGGGACTATAGTAGAGAGGCTATGCTGAAATGTTCAGCCCTATAGAATGACATTTTCGGAAGATATTCAACAAACAAGGGTCAAAAATAGCTTATTTAGCAACTCAAAAATCTCTTTGCTTCCTCATTCTATAGATTTAACGTTTATTTTTATATTTGAAAGAGGATGCCAGACTGTAGTGCTTTTTTTAAAATTCTTATTTTTTATGCGGCGAAAAAAGAATGACAAGTTCAATACCTCGAGAAGTTCTCAAAAAAAAATGGTCATCTATTTATAGAAGCACTTTTTTATATAATAATAAAAAAGTTTAATTCAAAGAACGGATACCGCAGCTTCATATGATCTTTCAAACAACAAACAAGCAATTAGCTAAAATGAATTTCCTTCGAGAATTTTGAGATGCGCTATCAGAAAAGCACAAATAACGAAAAAGTTTTACTATTTTTTTTTCTGAAAAGAAGCATTTTTTTCAAACAGAAGGTGGCAGAATTCATCAAAAATTCTGACAAAAAACGAAGTGTCGAATAAAAAATCATGTCTTTCTGAGAAGTTTAAAATATCAAAATATATCTCCTGTGTTCTATCAGTGAATATGTAGCGTGATTGAACTAAAAAAAAAATATTTCTTTCAATCTACCTAAAATAATTCAATATAAATGTTGAACAGTAAGAACTATTTAAGAGAATTGATTTTTTTCTTTTTTCTATGAATGACATAAACCGATTGAATAAGTCTTTGATTATGATTTATGTTAGATCAACTTTTGATTGTGATATTAACTTTTTGTTAGACAATATTATAATAGAAAAGTGTGAGAAGTATTACTTAAATAAAAAAAAAGGAACAAGTAGAAATCAAAAGGATTATTAAGATTTACTTTGAAACGAAAAAGAAGAAAAAAACTCAATAAGAAAATACAAAATAATATTTAGAAGATTTCTGAGATCGATTTCATAAATGTTGTTTGTCTTGATGGTAAGATAAATCGATTATTTATTTCAGTATCAAATGGTGTTAATGTTGTATTAGTTCCAAATGATGATGATGTTGGTTGACGTTGTATTATTGGTGGAAGAATAAGACGACTTTTAGATGGTGCACTTTTTGTTGATGGTAATTCGTCTTTATTTATTAATAGTAAATCTTCAATAACTGGTTGTTTTGATGTAGAATAATGATGACTTTGATTTGATACTGTATCATCAATATCCTAGATTAATTAATTAATTAATTAATTTAAAAAAAATTTAAGTTAATACTTGTGTAAAAAGTAAAGCATATGGTGTTACACAAACACCACCTTTAACAAGATGACGTCCATCAATATTACTAAAACGATGACGTCGTTCTCGTCGTGTTAATTTTTGTTGAGTTAAACCTTTTTCAATTGATATACCAAGTCCAGTAGTTTCACGCTGAAATAATTTGAATTTAGATTTAAATTTGTAATTGAAAACAAATATATATTTACCCATAATAATGATGAACTTTCGAATGCAGTTGAAGATGATTTAAATATTAGACTATGCTATAGAAATAAATCTATTTATAATTTATTAAATATGATTATTTATAAACATACATCATTGAGATTAGCAAAAAAAGATGATGATTCTTGATTTTCTTGTTCTTCATTATTATTGGGTATAACTTCATCTGTTAATAAAGGATTTATTTTTTCATATATTATTGATGTTTCCTCTATGGAAAACACAAAAGAAAAAAAGAATATTTGTTATGTCTATTTTACAATACAAACCATTTTCGTTATCATCAAATTTTTTTGCAGATTTTTCTCTTAATTGTTCTTGATCAATTTGTGTTCTTGATGTAAGAAATAAATCAATATCCCATTGAAGTCTTTGTCCAAATATTCCAATTTGTTCGCCATTCATTGTCCATAAACGTGTCGTATGATCAGTTGAACCAGTTAAAATAAAATCTTCATATCCTTTATGATCTGTCCATTCACAAAAAATAATTGGTGATAAATGTGCTTGCCATGAATATACAAGTGATGGTGATGTTGAATCGAATTGAATTGGTAATGTTGTTGAACAACAATAATTTTCAATATTCCATATACGAATTTCACCGTGTGTATCACCACATATTAAATACTTATTTGTTGCATCAGTACACATTGCTAAAATAGATTCACCTGGATTTGATGAACCATGAAACATTCCCATATCTTTACGTTCACCATAAAGTGACCAACAATATATTTTTCCAGCTTCACTTGATAATAAGACACCTATTAATGTTTAAATGATTTTTTTAATAAGTATGAAAAATTTTTTTATTTTCAATGAGGGTAGTCCTCCAATTCACAAATTGTTTTTGACTTGAGACTATGTGCATTATATAGAACCAAATGACCTATGAATAGCCTGAATAGAGTTCGTGTTCTTAGTTTATTACTACGAAGATACCTCACTTTTACGGTAGTTTTTAAAATCAATGCCAGAATTGTCCTGAGGATTACCGAAAAACTAATTTTCGAATTTCAACTTGAAACTTTGCAGAGAAATAGAGTTTGATGAGAATAGTTTTTTGTGAATGTTTCAGATCTTGTCGCCGTTCCTACCCTAATATACAGTTACGAGACATGTCTCTCTGCGAAGTTCCAAGTCGAAATTTGAAACTCAATTTTTTTTGGTGTTTCTAAGAAGGACCACGACGTTCATTTAAAAAACCTGTTAGCGCAATCCATGCGGACTAAAATGTAAAACACGATAGAGCTGCTGATATTCTAGAAGAGGGGTTTGATCAATATATGTTTCGGTTTATGAATTCTTACCTACTATTAATACACATCGATGATAAAAGATATTAAGCGCAATATATTGCAATGAATGTGAAAGAAAAGTAAAGAACAACTATCATACTAATCTTTCAGTGAACTTTGATCTCACAGTCATGCCTGTACGGATCGAGAAGCATTTCTAAGGTGTTTGTGAGGGAGGGATTCGAATTTCTAGCTCTATACTTCAAGACTTCTTTTAGATCGTGTTTACTACCATAAAAGTACAGCATCTCCGCAGTAATAAGCAAAGTGCACAAACTCTTTTCAGGATATTCATAGCTCATTTGGGTCTACATAATCCATATAGTCTCGATTCAAAAGTGATTTATCAGTCGGAGGACTTTAGTCGTAAGAAATTCTTACCATATTTCATATTTTCTTTAGCTCGATGTCGAAGAAAAAGAAGTTTATCAACTGGTATTGGAGTATATCGTTTCGTACGACGTGCTGATGATCGATGAGGATTCAATGTTGAACGATGACTAAGAAATTTAATAAGAAAGTAGTTTTGATTTTCTTTTTTCTATAATATTAACTAATTAGCTCAAATCCAAATAATGATTTTAGTAGTTAATAGAGTTTTCTATCGAATTCATTCTATACCAAGATTTCATCGTTGAACTATGACAGCAAGATTTCAAGAAAAGTCGAACATTGTAGTTTTCGAGTTCCGAAAGACTATTCTTTTAAATAATGCCATTTTTAAAAAGTACAAAATTTTGAACAAAACGAAAGGTCGCCACATTTTCTACGACCTTCTCTTAAAAAGTTAAAAGCATCACAAAAAATGTGCATTGTTTCAGTTTTTGTGACACTTCCAACTTTTTTAAGAGAAGGTCATAGAAAATGCAGCGACCTTTCATCTTGTTCAGAATTTTAAGCTCTTTAAAATGGCATTATTAAAAACAATTGCTCCTGGTGTCCAAAAACTACCATGTCCGATTTTTTGAGAATTCATACCATTATAGTTCATCTATGAAATATTGATCTCGAATGTATTAGATAGAAAACTTCATTGGATATTAAAATCGATATCTAGATTTGAGCTAATTATTTAATATTATAGAAACAAAAAAAAACCAAAACTACATTATTGTTAAACCTTGTTTTTTTTCCATCATCTTACAAATATTCAAATTATAATAAAATAAAAATTTTCTTACACGCTTGGTTTTGGTGCTTTACGTAAACATATAATTAATTTTTCTGTATCAATACTCCATACATTAATTTCACCATCATATGAAGCTGTACACATTATATTACTAATTGGTAATAAATTTTCCACACATAATATATCATCACGATGTACTTGTGAACCACGCCATGTTAAATCAGCTTTAGGTAAAACAAGCTAGATAAAAGTAAAAACAAAATTTAATTTAATTGATTTATTAAATCAAAAATAGTTTGTTTTGTTTTTTGTTAGTTTTCAAAGAAAGATTAATTTGTTAACTCATTTCGTACTCGAATATTATTATATTTCTTTTATTTGTTTTTTTTACTTTCATTTTATAAATACCTCAACTGTATTTTTCTGATCATCAGTTCTATCCTAAAATATTATTCATACCTATAAAAATAAATCAAATAAAAAAAAAACCAAAATATTGTTTACTTCAGATACAATATCAGGATATTTAACAATTTTTCTTGACCATCCAACTGTAATAACACCTTTATCTGTAAAAAGTATTCCAGTAATTTCTGCATCTTCAACACTTGGTAATATATGAAGATTTAAACCATTTGCACTATTCCAAATCTTAGAAAAAGAAAAAAACTTAAAAGAAAAAAAAAATTCAATTATGAAATCATACTTTAATAACTCCATTTCGAGCTCCTGTTGCAATTTTACGACATAGTCGATCAATAGAAACACATGTA